AAGTCTATGGATGTTAATAGGGCAGGATGAGTAAGGGTAGTATATGCCCACTACCCTCCATGTTAGATAAATATGTGTCTCATACTCGTTTCTATATTCACGTAGGTGCTCCTTAAGTGGTTACCCGCAATATTTTTTTAATATCTGTAGATATCCATGAATATTCGTAGGTATTTACTAAAAAAACAAACTAGCATATAAAACCCTGTATAAATAAAATTTGTATAAAAAGCTTGCATAAAAAAACTTGCACAAAACCCCTTATCATACACATCTAGTATAAAAAAATTGCATAAATTAAGTAATTGAATATTAGTGGGTATCCATGAGTACGAATACTATGATATCCATCCTTGCCTTGTTAACATACCGGTATAGAAAATACTCATACTCGTTACCTATGAGTACCCATTAACAATATCCATTTTTATTCATAGCAGATATTATTCGTAAATACCTACGAGTGTAGATTTTTTTTGTCATCCCTAAACAAGTCATTACATCCAAGAACTAACATAAGTCCTAAACATGATAAAGACTAAAGAAAACATGAAAGCCTAATTAAAGTCCAATCTCACATACTATCAAAGCTCAACCCATCATTAAAACATAAGGCCTAAGCCTTATCTCCAACACCATCATCAACATGATCCTCACCTGCAAAACATACACAAAAACACAAGAATAGAAGAAATGAAAGTGAAAAACATCTCACTTTGACTATTAGTGTTAGATATGGTCGGATAGTCACGCAAAATTAGCATAACATATATCATTAACAACCTTAACAATAAAAATAAAACTAAAATAACTCAAGATATCAACAAGTGCAAGATTCACGCAAATGCTAGACACAAATTTTAGTAGTTTACATGCATGTAACGCTAGTAAAACACTAACCCTGCCTGAAGGCACACATGTAGTAGCCTAGGAAAACATGCATGGTCAAGTCACCACAATACTATGCATTAGAAGTTGATATACTAGGGCACGTCGAGATAGCGGTGTTACACAAGTTACATCACATGCACACATAAAGGTGGAACTAGGGCTACCACTCCCAACTTGTCTACAAGGCCATGAATCCCCAAGTTTATACAAGGAGACATTTTTTGGTATTGTATTCCATATTATATCCTTTCACACAACATTCTGCTCATGATGCATGTCACATAGGACTTAATGCATATATTATGTTATATCATCATCACAAGTTCATATCATATATCTTATTCACATCATTACTAGGAAATCCACACCCATACTTTATCTTGACTAAGCCTCAGCTTAGACTTCACGTTGCATGACTATCACATGGACCACTGTTGGATCGAGCGCTTACCACTAGGCTAAAAGCTATAGCTGATAATCAGGGCGCAACTCTTTTTACTTAAGAGCGCAGTAGCCCAAGCGCCATGATTCGACAGTGACTTGGCCCACCTAGCCTCCACCACGGGACAATTGATGCAACCCGCAACAATAGCTTTTGGCCTAGTGGTAAGCGCTCGATCCAACAACCACACACATGAACACATCATACATCATTGTTAATCAACCTCAATACATAAGCACAAATATCAAGATTTACCCTTAACCATTTATATACTTCTTTATGTATTCCCTTAACTAGATGCCTCTAAAACATTATCACATTATATAACATAAGTGCCTATTCACATGTAGGGTGACACCTAACAAAGGGTCCCCTATGCTTGACGCAATTCATGCAAAAAGCACACATTGCTCTTTAGAAGTACCTCGCTTGACATGACTACACTCATGTTGGACAAATTTACAACAATGAGCTCTTGGAGCTCCCACACCCAAAGAAAACCATCCCATGCCCAACATATAGGTCAAAGAGAGCAACCTATGCTCTTTGTTACTCCATGCTCGGCGACCCTTCATGGCTCCCGATGTCAAATCTTGTATAAAGTTCTTTGTAGACTACTTGTGCCTAATTTGTGTAGCATCACGTCTAGAAGAGACGAAACTATAGTTGTAACTCTTGTTAATTGTATTTGTTTTTACATTGAAGTAGTGAAAAATGTAAACAGATGAAGTACTGAAAGGTGATCGGACGAAGTACTAAAGACAGATGAAATGACACAAGTGTTTTATATTAGTTCGTCTTCAACCCAGAGACTACGTCCAGTTCTCAATCCAACCAAATTGAGTTCCACCATCTTCAACAAGATACAAGTATTCTTTCACAAGTCACTTCTAGCTCAAACCAAGTATTCTTTCAACAAGCTTCTCTGGGCTCAACCACTAAGTATTCTTTTGCACAAGCCTCTTCAAGCTAAAACACTAAGTATTCTTTATACAAGCCTCTCGAAGCTCAATCCTTACAAATACAATTGATAAGAGTTACAACTATAGCTTCGTCTCTTCTAGATGTGATGCTACGCAAATTAGGCACAAGTAGTATACAAAAAACTTTATACAAGATTTGCTATGGAGATCTTCTTTGTAGAGCTTCAACTTTGTATTTCTCATTGCGTGAGTTTTCTCTGTGTATGATGCTTTTATTTTCAACGCTTTCTTTTCTTTTGTTTTGCTTGCACACTCTTCTTACTTCATCATTCATATAACATTAATCCTTATTCATGTTGTGCATTGTTTTTGTTTGTTTGAGGGGTTGACCCTTATATAGTAGCTTTAGAGAAGGTGACCATTGCAGCAATGTTCAAATTTAAGCGTTCATATTTCTTCAGGTGTTGCTTCATTTTTCTTCTTAACTGATCATAGGGATTATCGTTGATGCATTTAAATGCAAGCATTAAATGCTGATAAGAGATGTGTACCTTCTATCTGATTTAGACAATTACTTATCATCTCTTTCTTCTTTTTTGAGTGTCGTAGAGTGGTGTTAGTGTAGAGCAATTGGGGCTAGTACAAGTAGTCTCTTTCAGTGTCTTGTCCGTGATATCTGGGATTTACTCTTTCTTTCCTGACACAACGATTTGACATCCCCCTTTTTGAAAGCTTTCATTTTCTTCGAGGAAGCTTTCCATTTGATTTGTTAAGGAATTAAGTATTAATGCTTCTTAAAGTATAATCTGACTCTTTAATGAGAAATAAATATAGCATTACTCTACATCTTTCACTTCATCTAGTGCACTTCGTCTTACAGATGAAATATAACATTTGTTTTATATAAAATAGTCTCTTTTTAGAGAAACTCATGGCTTCTTGTTGTCGTAAAAAAGTGTTTTATAAAACTCTAATCTATTTAGAAAATTTATTTGTTATCATAAAAACTTATAACACCTCAAGGAATTTAAGATCATCTTTTGATTCTTTAAACTTCCTTTTGATCTTAATTACAAATTATCATAAGTTTATAGGACTAAAAATATAATCAAGTTATTATTTTTTAACGTTATAAATGATTTATAATTCTTATTTTAAAATTTAATCTATTAACTTACAATTTTATAAAATATCTTTTACATAAAATACATTATATATTATAATGTATGTTTGGGAATAAAAAAATACATCTTAGTAACATACAATTTTATAAAACACATTCTATATTAGTGTGAATGTTGTATACCTACATTATACATTTACAAATAAAAGACATATTTACATAATAATGTGGTTCAATTTATTTGAGGTCGGTTTCAAATTCTCAAACTCCAAACTAAACTGAACCACATAGTTAAAAAAAAAAAGTAATAAATTGTTTTTTCATTGACTTTTGAATTTTTGGACTGTTTTTGATTTTTCGATAGAGTTGGTTGAATTTTGAACATTCGAAATAACTTTTAAGATAACTTTGTTTAAAGTTAATTAATAATACTCTTTATTTTGAATAATTTTTTTTATTGAATGACATTACAAAATTTTGTACATTTTTAATATATATATAAACTATTGTATCAAGAATGAATAATTTATTTTATCATAGATGAAATAATACTTAAATCAAGTAATAAATAATTGTGTCAACTTTTAATTTTAACCTTATATTTATCTATTCCTAATTTATTGAGTTAGTGATATCAAAACGTTTTATTTCTATAAACTTACAATTTATAAATGTAAAGTTAAACTCAATAAGTCTTGATCTATTTAATATATAAGTAATTAATTAATGAGTGTCATGTGATAATAGGAATTAAAAATAATATTTTATATTTTTTGAGGAATAAAAAAATATATAACTAAAATTAATTTTTTTAATCATTTTTTAAGAAAAAAAAATAATTTAAATCATATAAAAAATTGAGAAAAAAATGGCAATGCAAAATATTCAGTGTATGAAGGAAAAACAAAAATTGACAATGTAATATTCAATATGTATGAGATTTGACGTATTAGACTGAGAAAGAGAATATTAATCAAGAATAAAAGACTCCACTTTGATATATAAAATTGATAATTAATTAATAAATTATAAGATGATATTATTATAAAAATTAAAATTTATATATATATTTTTTTTTCCGGAGAGGGGCTTAATTACTCCCCGTTAATTCTGTGTATGGTAATTATAAGTTTATTGTCACTATTGCTGTGACTAACAATAGTTTTTTTTTTTTTTTTTTTTGTAACATTACTAACAATAAATTGATTTAAAGCAATATATAGTGCTTTGACTTACAATTACAAATAGCAATTTAATAATTGCTTAAGATGATTAAGCTGATGCGACCTATACCCAGAATCACATGGGCTTGAACTCAATTTTCCTTTGAAAATTAGTTCCTAGGTTTAAATATGTTTTAATTTCTGTAATATATATTAGTTTTTATAATTTTTTGAATGATGTTAAAATTCTTGTTTTTTCATTTAATTTTTTATTATTTTTGTTTTAGTCCCTATAATATATATTTTCTTTATCTATAATATTTAGTTTATTTTAAATTAGTCCATGTAGAAGGAATTACAAGCAAACTATTCAAATGTTATAAGTAAAACAAAAAATATGTATATTATTGGGACTAAATTAAAATAATAAAAATCAAAATAAAAAGAGATTTATAAAAATCATTTAAAATATCATAAAGACTAATAAAAAAGAAAGAGATATTACAGATAAAAACATATTTAATTCTGGTTTCTATCTGTATCAGTATCTGTATCTGTATCTGTTTTTGGTGTTGGTTGCTGGAGTGGGCTGCGCATGGCATGTCCTCGCCTGTGGACTTCAGAAACACTTTCAGAGGCCAAGTACTCCAATGCAACAACAATATCACCAATGGATGGACGAAGATTCGGTTTCTCCTGAAGACACATGGCAGTTATAGCGACTGCATTGTGCAAACAACGTATCGGGTAGTTTCCTTGCAATAGAGGGTCAACCATTTGCGAAAGCTTTCTCCGGTCACCCAAAAATGGCCGAGACTGCACCAAGAATACACACAAAAGTACGTACTTCATTTAAGACAAGTGATGGAGTTTCATATAGAAACATATTGGAATGCTAAAATACTAATTGTCCCATCCCATGCATGCAAGAATTAGTTATTAAAAGAAAAACTAGTTATATAAAGGCATAAGTGGTTTATACTTTTGTTTTTTAATCAAGAAATGTATTTGGTCTCCAAATGTATATGCGAGGGTGGAAATGAGTTATATACTTGATGATTACAAATAAAATAAAATAATTGTAAATAGATTGATATTAGAAAATTTACGTACCCATGCAACGAGGCTTTGCTCGCGTGGTTTTCTAGCGACATCCATTGCCTTACGTCCGGTGATCAACTCTAGCAAGACGACACCAAAGCTGTAGATATCAGATTTAAGGGTTAATTTGCCACTCATGGCGTACTCGGGGGCACAATAGCCATATGTTCCCATGACTCTTGTGGAAACATGGGTATTGTCTCCAACAGGTCCTAGCTTAGCAAGCCCAAAATCCGAGAGTTTAGGGTTCAAATCATCGTCTAATAAGATGTTGGCAGATTTCAAGTCCCGATAGATAACAGGTGGATTCGCTGAACAATGGAGATACTGGAGGCCCCGCGCAGCACCCACAGCAATGTTCAGTCGAGTTTTCCAGCTTAGTGGTTTTCTCTCTAGGTTAGTATCTGAAAAATAATCAATACATAAATATAAATATATATGCATGCATGAAGAGGAATTAATAGGACATTATATATATGATGAGCTAGGTACGTAGGTGATGAAGCGGAATAGGTTAGTAATTAATGAATTACCGAAAAGATGATGTTCGAGGCTTCCCTTAGGCATGTATTCATAAACCAAAAGCCTTTGATCTCCATGGGTGCAGTAGCCGATTAATTTGACGAGATTAGAATGATGAAGGAGGCTTAGCATAAGAACCTCGGTGACAAATTCGCGATTACCTTGATGGCCATCACCATCTAGACGCAATTGTTTGATAGCAACAAGCTGGCCTGTGGAGAGTTGGCCCTTGTAAACCTTTCCAAAACCTCCTTCACCGATCAAATTGACTTCCTTGAAACCCCTGGATGCCGATGTAAGCTCGCGAAAACTGAAACTCGAGGCTGTGCCTCTCCCTTTCCTTGAATTTGGCTTTGTCGTCCCTATATGATCAACGCCCACACCCTTCCCACGAGAACAAAAGCAGCTCATCTCCCTCTCCCACTTACATGTTCATCCACCCTTTCTCCAAAACGCTAAATTCCCAAACTCTCTATATATAAATAAATTAGACAATCTCCTCCATTAATAACTAATCATATACAAACTGTCTCTATGTGTACGTCGTTTTCACGCCAATTTAGCCCAATGCCAACTGCAACACGCTAACTATATCCATATTACCAACTATATAACTTTATTTAAAACTAACATCTATCTCCCTCTCTCCCTTATATATACATTTCTTTATATGATGGTCTAGTTTTCTATTTTCCATTTTTTTTTACATCTTTTTTTTTTTCTCCTTGTGCTATCCTTTCTTTTTATGTCGCTCGCTCCTACTATCGATTAATTATTTTTTATAATTTAGTTTCTACAAACTAAAATTATAAATCAAATATAACTTTATTCTTTGAATAAGTAGATTGAAATCAATCCCCCTCTCTAAGACCATATAGGCGGAAAAAAAAACACGTACACAACACCTATCAAATGATTAGAAAAGTTTTTTTTTTTTAATTTTTTTTTATTTTCATGTGATACAAATAAAGTTACACGTCGATAAAATAAGAGAGAAAAAAATAATAGTTTATAAAACATACGCAAACTCCAATGATAGAGAGATCTTTTGGAAGATGACCAAAAGTAAAATCGTATCACCATCATGGAGTTGTGTTTAAAATAAACCGATAAAAAATAACAAAGTTATAACCCCCTACTTTTGATATAAGTATATTCTCCCAAACAAATCAACGAAATAACCCCAACATCTAAATGGTACAACATCTATTAAACACAAAAGTAAGTGATTATTATGTGGAATAAGACAATCAAAATATTTGCCGAATGTCCATTGGTTTCTCAACTACTATTATGCATGCAAAGATTATGGCCCTTTTGTATAGGTCCAACTCTGTTGGAGTGAAACGTTCAAGGAAAAGGTTATAGGGGGCCTTGTTATATCCTCTTCGGTACGTGATCTCCTCAAGGAGGGTTGAAACCTTTGTGAAATTGTATGAACAATGGAAACAATGTCTAGTGGTGAAATTGTTGGGGAAGAGCATTGGTTTCATTACTATGCAGAGCAGGCTGCAAACATTTTGGAAATTACAAGGGGATTTTTGAGGTAATGGATATATCACATGGCTATTTCTGGTGAAATTTGATCTTGATGTAGATAAGGAGCATGTGCAAGGAGGCCCGTGGATGCTCTTTGATCGTTAATTGATTGTCAGACAATGGTCATCAAAGTTTGTGGCATCTAAGGCGGAGGAAGATAAAGCCTTTATCTGGGTCTACTTTCCAGGGCTAGGCATGGTGTTTCATGACAAGAACGTTCTTCTTTCTATAGCCTCATCGATGGGAAGGCCTATTAAGGTCCATCTCAACACCCTTAATATGACTTGAGGGAGGTTTGCCAGAGTTTGTGTTGAAATTAACCTCTATAAACTAATGTTAGGCAGGTTTAATCTCAACAATATATAGTACAAAGTAGAATACTAAGGCTTGCATTTACTTTGTACCACTGTGGTTGTTATGGCCATGTTGCCTGTGTGTGCGTGACTCCTCCTACAACAACGAAGAAGAGTGCCCAAGATAAGGAGTCAATGGCAAAGGGTGAAGGTCCATCAACATTGAGTGGAGATGGTACCATTGATGAGGAGACAAAGGAGAAGAATGATAACGAGATCCTGGATGTCTTGGTGAATTCACTACAATCACATGGAGATTGGTTGATCATGAAACAAAAATCACAAAAATAAAATAAAAGTAAATTATTTGCAACACAATTCATGCATGGATTGGGGAAGGATAAAGATTTTGACAAGATAGGTGCGAGAGGAAATATCTTAGCTGTTACAGATGGGTCCCTAGCATTATCCAAAAATATGAATAATCATGTGGGGTCCAATGTTCAGATTATGTTGGAAAATAAGGTTGGGCCTAATAAAAAGGGTGCACGAGGCCATGAGAAAAGAGAAGAAACGGGGTCGTGCTGATGTAGGCGGTTTGTGTATGCATGTGGACATGATTAATGTCGAGAAGGTTAACCCGAAGCCAGAGCAAACTTAAAGTATTGCTCCTCGAATTGCAAAGTTTAAGTTCGTCATCCTCATCAAGCATGTTGAGGGTACCCTATATACATATTATGATGAGGATCGCATGGAGGAGGTCTAGAGTGTGGTGTAGGATGGAACCGAGATGATCGTAAGGGGCATCCTGAGGTTGAGGATATAACTCGTGATGACATGCTCTCTTGAGGAGAGCTTCTGGTTACCACTCTAATAGGTTTCTCATGTTAGATAACCATAATATTATTTTTTGGAATATTAGACGTGTAGTAAATGCAAAAGGGGAAAGAAGGGTTTGTGAGCTGGTTAAGTTGCACAAACCTTTTATTTTCATAGTGTTGGAAACCCATTGCCTATTCTTGTCAGTTACTTAATTTCGGAACAATCTAAACTATAAGTTGCATCATAGTGTGGAGGCCAATTGTCATGCTGGAGGCATATGGATCTTGGTTGAGAAAGATAGTCAAATATCGACGCTTGAGTTATTTTCTTTCCCTTAAACAACTATAGTTTTAATCAAGAAAGGTAACATAGAGTGGGCATGCACATTTGTGTATGCAAGTCCTAAATTCAATTACAGAACAGAGGTGTGGGATTATATTAGGAGTCTTAGAAGACAGCTAGTAGTTCCTTGGCTCGTATTAGGAGATTTCAATGAGGTCAATTCTAGCTTAGAGATCTGAGATTATCGTTTCTCTCCTTCTCATGCCTCTCAGTTGGTTCAGCTCATGAATGATTGTTCCTTGATGGACCTTGGCTCTAAAAGTCTTAGACACACCTAGTATCAGAAGCAACTAGGCACAATGATGACTAAAAGGCTTGATAGAATGATTTGTGACACATCATGGCAGTCTCTCTTTCTAGAAGCTTTTGCGGAGGTTTTTTGTCGGGCTTATTCAAATCATTGCCCTATCCTTGTGTAGTATGGCGGTTTGAAAGATAAGTTAAAGGATTGTCCATTTCATTTCCAAGCTTCTTGGTTTAGGCATAAGAGTTTTAAGAAGGTGGTCCATGAGGCTTGGATTAGGAGAACCCCTACCCTTGCTAACGGATTAAAAATTGTCAAGACTGATGCATTAGAGTTTAACACTCGTGTATTTGGCAATATTATGACTCAAAAAAAAGTTGTAGAGGCAAATTTAAGTGGGGTTCAATTGGAGCTTGAAAAAGGGGAGTCTGAGAATCTTTCTCAATTGGAAGGTACTCTCCAACATGAGTTGGATGAGGTTTTATTGCAAGAAGAATTTTTGTGGTTTCAAAAGTCTAGAGAGAAGAGGGTGAGGTTTGGTGATAGGAATACTAGTTATTTCCATACTCAAACCCTTGCTCGAAGAAGAGAAACAAGATTCGAGGCTTATTTCTACTAGATGGCACGTGGCATACGTATCCGGATGTCCTTAACAGTAAAGCTTTTCACTTCTATCAGGAGCTTTTCAGGAATGAATCACATAGTGCTTTTGTGGACATACATCTAGGTTTTCCTCTAGTTTTGGGAGAAGAGGATATGGCCACCCTCTTGGCTCTAATATCTAATAAAAAGGTTAGAAGGTTTGTTATGAGCATGAAATCCTTTAAGGCACATGGGTCAGAAGGATTTCAACCCTTTTTTTATAAACAAAATTGGCACATTGTGGATGACAAACTTTGGAGGATGGTGCGTGAAGAATTTTTGCATAGCTTCTCAGATGAATCTCTTCTTGAAACATTAATCATGCTTATCTCAAAGATAGACAATCCATCTAACCTTAAAGACTTTCGCCCAATTAGTTTGTGTAATGTGAGATATAACATTATATTGAAAGTGTTAGTGGCATGATTGTGTCCTTACCTCCATTATATCGTTGGACCTTTCTAAGAAAGTTTAATATCAGGGAGAGGAACACTTGATAATAATATCCTTGCACAAAAGACTCTCCATTTTATATCCAAGGATAAAACTACTATGGAAACTATGGCATTGAAAATTGACCTTGAGAAGGTGTATGACGAAGTGAGTTAGGATTTTCTTTAGGCTACCCTACATAGATTTGATTTTCCTACTCGTATCATCCAACTGATCATGTGGGGAATTGACAACTTTGTGTTGTCAGTGCTTTGGAATAGAGGAAAGTTGTAACCCTTTCAACCTTCTTGGGGTCTTAGACAAGGGGATCCTCTCTCCCCATATCTTTTCGTGCTTTGCATGGAGAGACTTGTTCTTCACATCCATGAGCTAAATAAAGAAAGGTCCTAGGAAGCTATTCAAATATCATAGGGAGGCCCACCTTTGTCTTATTTGTTGTTTGCGAATGATATTTTCTTATTATATCGTGCCATGAAGCAATAAGTGTGTGCAACTGGTAGCTTCAACCTTGGAGGTAGGGATGGCAACGGGGCGGGTCGGGTACGGGTTTCATGATACCCGTCCCCGTCCCTGCGAGTTAAACCCATCCCCTTCCCTGTCGGGTATCGGGTATACCCGTACCCGTACCAGTACCCGTCAAATTTTTTTATTTTTTATTTTTTGAAAAAAAATAATATTTTTAAATTTTTTTTATTATATTATAATTATAATTAGGTTATTTCTTTATCT